AATGGTTCAAGCTCACCAGCTGCTCATTGAAAACACTATATAAGGTTGCTATGGGTCGGAATCAACTCCAGAGCACTTAACAACAAGTGTATTTGGAAGCTCTTCTTAAGTGTCTTACATGCATACTAAAACCAAACCCACTGCCCTGGAGTCAACTCCGATTTGGTTTTGGTATGCATTTAAGACACTTATGGAAAACTTACAAATGCACTAAGACATGCCATGGAGTCAGAGCAGCCCTGCAGATGGTTTCCAAGGCTGTAAATCTTCATAGGAGCAGAAAGTCTCATCTTTCTCCTGAAGAGTGGCTAGTGGATTTGAACTGCCAGTCTTGTAGTAGCTAATCACGCAGTGCCACAGGTAAAATATATACTATTTACCAAGACAAACATTTAACTGACACTAAAGAAGAACCTATGTACCTGTTTCAATTTACCTACAAATTCAATTTAAGGAGACTTAGGAACATATCTCATTTGTGAACTGCCTGTACCAGGGAGGCCCTAAAGGTTACGGGAAAATGGAATCAACAGATGACAAGCTGTTTCATGACCTTTTCACAGCCCTCTCATTTATAACACAGCACAGTGGGGGACACAGTGGTAAGTGTCATCGAATCAGTTCTGACTTCATGGAATCGGTTCTGACTCATGGTGACCCTGTATAGGATTTCCTTGCAGAGGTTGGTGGGTTTAAACTGTTGACCTGCAGTTAGCAGTCTAGTGTTTATCCTACAGCACCACACCAGGACTCCTTGCTATTGTTAAGTGCCGTCAAGTTGGTTCCGACCTATAGTGACACTATATAGGTTTCCAAGGAACAACTGTTGAGCTTGAACCACTGACCTTGCAGTTCAAACCAACTTCACAGTCCAGCACATTAACCCACAACGCCACACCAGAACCCTTTGTTGTTGTTAAGTGCCGTCTAGTCTATTCCGACCCATAACGACCCTGTATAGGGTTTCCAAGAAGCAGCTGGTGAGCTTGAACTGCCAACTTTGCAGTTTAAACAGCTTTGTAGTCTGGCGCATTAACCCACAGTGCCACATTAGACATAGCCAAAAATACCTCATGGGATTAGCTTTATGGGCTTGAAGGATTAGGGTTGTTGTTTTGTGAGAAATCTCTATCAACTACATAATATATTTCATAAAGTTATGTTCTACATCTAATTTGGTGAGTCCTGAAAGTTTTAAGGCTCTGGCATCTTAAAAGCTTAGGAACGACCATGTAAGATACAACTATAGATTGCTACTTGTCTGGAGCAAACATGAAAGAAAGAAACCAAACACTCAAAAAAGAAATTAATCTACAAGGAAACAGTCTGTGGGTTAATGTGCCAGACTGCAAAGCCAGTTTTTTAACTACAAGGTCGGCGGTTCACGCTCACCAGCTGCTCCTCGGAAACCCTCTATAGAGTGGCTATGAATCGGAACCGACTCAATAGCACTTCACAACGACAATAGAGTGGGAAAGAAATGTGGAACAGAACCTCAAATATTTTTTTAGAACTCAGCCTTACTGGACTCACTGTGAAACTGCTGACCATCCCAGAGTAGCCCTTTGCTACTCTTCAAATCTTAAACTGAAACTAACCTTGAGGTCACCTTGTAGCTAAATAGTAAAATGACTTAAAAAATAACAAATATCATCCATATGTACTGTGATCCTTGAAAAAAATCACCTATAACAGACTAAACAGTAATTACTTTTAAACAAAATGAGAATGTAAGGAAACAGGGAAATTAGATTAATGGAAACAGAACAACTAGAATCAAAATAAGACTGTTCCTCCATTGTGAAGTGTATAATCAACATTAATTAACAAACAAATCTGTGTTGGAAGAACGCTGGAAGTGTGGGTGTCAAGACTTCATCTCACATACTTTGGACATGTTGTTAGGAGGAAACAGACATCATACCTGGCAAAATGAGGGCCAGGGAAAAAGAGGAAGACTTCTGAGATGGACTGACAAAGTGGCTACAACAATGGGCTCAAAGTGTGAGGATGGCACAGAACCGGGCAACATTTCATTCTGTCATGCCAGAGGGTCGCTATGAGTCGGAACCAATGGGATGGTACCTGACAACAACATAACCAATGTCATTGAACAGCTTGTATAGAAATTGTTTTATAAACCACCACAGAAAAAAACACAATACAGTATTTGAAAAAAAAAAATCTTAACCCCTATACCTGTGGTTATAATTTCATTTGGAAATGGGTTGTCTTTGTTGCAAACCAATCACCTTTGAGATAACAAGGACCTCCCCTCAAAGTTGACAGAGAAAGTCTCCACTTATCACCAGCACCCTGAATTCAGATTTCTAGCCTCCTAAACTGTGACAAAATAAATTTCTGTTTCTTAAAGTCACCCACTTGGTATTTCTGTTATGTTGTTTTAAATGCTGTCAAGTTGGTTCTGAGTCATAGCGACCCTGTCTAGGGTTTTCAAGGAGCATTTTGAACCAACGTTGTGGTTTGCAGTCCATTGCTTATCCTACAGTGCCACACCAGGACTCCCATTTCTGTTACAGTGGCGCTAATTGACTAAGATAAGTACAGTGTCACTTCAAGGGGGCAGCACGACCTCCATCTGCAGAGGCTGAGAAATCCCATACTCCCCCAGGCCACAGGCTATAGGCCATAGGCTACCTCCAGCAGCAGTGTCCTGACTGACAGTTCACTGTTTGTACTTCAGATCAGCGGACCACACTTGGCTCTTGGAAAGCCATGAGGGTTGGGCAGGTGCTAAGACCCAAGTGTAAGGCCCAGTCAGACTTCTCACTATTGTCAGCCAAGTCAGTGGCTCTGTAAAAAGGCAAGTTCCCACAACATGAATTTTTTAGATTCACTGGATGCCTAGCTGTTATCCAAGTCCCTCTTCCTCAGACCCTGGCTCAAATTTCAGTTTCACTAGGAAAATTACTTAACTCTGGAGTACCTGCCTCCTCATATAGAAGACCATGACAACATAGGTTAGGGTCTATAAGGACAAAGCCTTGGTTCAGCTTCACTGGCTTTAGAGCCCAACTTCACCACCTTCAACCTTATGACTTCAGGTGGATCAATCAGTATTCTCATCTGTAAAATGAGGATGATAATAATAGTACCTGCCTCACAGGCTGTTGTCAAGATTAACTGAGCTGATACTTGTGAAGCACTTTCTATAGAAAAACTTGCTCTTGTCATTATATGTGATCACACTTCCCACATGACTTTGGCACCCAGTAAACCCACTACTAGGCGCTGTGGGCTATGCATCAGACTGCAAAGTCATTTGAACTGCAACGTCAGTGGTTCATCAAGCTCACCAGCTGCTCCTTGGAAACCCTATACAGGGTCACTATGGGTCGGACTCGACTCGATGGCACTTAACAACAATCATGTTGTTGTTTGCAATGGAGTCGGTTCTGACTCACAGTGACCCTGTATACGGTTTCCAAGGAGTACTGGTGGTTTTGAACGGTCACACCAGAACTCTTCTATAACTATCACAGTGACTCTGTATTGGGATTCTGAAGCTATAAATCTTTACAAATCTTCTTCTTTCTCCAGCATTGAGGCTGGTGGGTTTGAACCAATGTCCTGTGATTAGTGTTTGTCCTACAGGGCCACCCTGGACTCAGAAAGGCACCTAGTAAAGGTGCATCATTGTGGTTGTTAGTGCCTTCATCTGTTGCGACTCATAGTGACTCTGCACAGGGTTTCTGAGGAGCACCTGGTGAGTCTGAACCTCTGTGGTGCGCAGTCCAGTGCTTATCCTACAGTGCCACACCAGGAGTCTGCCACAATCTATCTTTACAATCATCCAGTATTATCATTACAATTATCCAATTATCATTACAATCATCCAATTAACATTACAATCACCCTAAAGGAGCAAACTGGTCAGGGCCAGGGGAATTTGTTGTTATGTGCCATGGAGTGGGTTCCCACTCATAGCAACCCTGTAAAGGGCTTCCGAGGCTGTAAATCTTTACGGGAGCAGAAAGCCTCATCTTTCTCCCGCGGAACAGCTGGTAGTTTTGAACTGCTGACCTTGCGGTTCACAGTCCGATTCGTAACCACTATTAAGAGGTAAAATTCTTCAGCAACTTCTAAGAGAGTCCTGGTGTGATGCTAAGGTTTGAACTGCAAGGTCGGTGGTTCCAGCTCACCAGCCGCTCCTCAGAAACCCTACACAGGTTGCTATGAGTAGGAACTGCCTCAAAGGCACTTAACAACAAAGCCCTGGCGGAAGTCTATGTGCGCAAAGACGGTATCCCGGGCCAAGTGGAGGGCGAAGGCTCGCGTTTCAGGGCCCCATTTCGTTCCATGCGCGATCCCCTACATCACCATCACCACGCCTAAAACACCCCAGAGCAAATCCTCAGTAATCCTCTCCCGGTGAGGCCAGATCCACCCACTAGGACTGTGTCTTCTAAGTACGCTTCCAACCAGAGCCCAGAGAAGCTGTTGACAGTCCTGACTGCTGTGAAACAAAAACAACTACTGAGAGTCGCGCGTTGCGGCTTAAATCTTCCACGCTGAGGCCTGCGCACTAGGAAGGGAAGCAGCCCCTGCTCTCCTTTTTGAGTTCTTGCACGAGCATCGGAGCCCTTAGGTGAGCCGGGAAAGGAGCCGACAGCCGCGTCCAGGTGGAAAGGTCCTCCAGCCTAGCGTGCAGAGAGCCCGGGAGTGCCCGGAGACAGTGACAACCCTGACCGGGGGCCAACAGCAGGAGAGGGAGGCGACCTGATGGCCAGACGGAGCTGCAGTATCTTGCTATGCCGAGACCAGCCCCGCCAGGCCCGTGACGCCACACTGCATAGAGCCCCCGGATGGCGCAGCCCCGGGGAGGCAGCTCGTGACCCCACCTCCCCCTCTGGTGCCCAAGCGCAGCCCGCCCCAGGCCCTTAGCCAGGGCGCGGGGAAGGGCGCGAGGCGGCGGCGCCACCTTGGCCGACCCGACTGGGCCCTAACCCCGCGTTCCCGCCCCTGCCTCCGCCACTTACCAGGAACTGGGGCCCAAGCCAGCAGCACGGCCGTCGCCCAGGCCAGGGGCCGCATCTCCCCGGCCACGGCCACGGCCACGGCCACAGCCAGGCACAGCGACGCGGCGCAGCCAGGCGCCCTTCCTAGGTCCGCCCCTGAGGAGCCCGCCCCGCCCCAGCCCGGCACCCGCCCCCGGGCCCCTAGCGCCGCCGTGCCCCGCCTGCGAGGGCTGCTGGGTCCCTTGCCCCTGGAGAAGGAAGAGGGACTCTTGAGAGGCACAAGTTGGGATTAATTCTCCCAGCGAGTTTCAGTGTCTCCTTTTCACCATCTCCATGTCACAGATGAAAAAAGTTAGACTCAGAGAGCTCATTGATTATGCCAGATGCGACACAGCAGATGTGTAGCTGAAATGTGTGGCATGACACCTAGAGAGGTGTGGGGTGCAGCTGGGACCTGAACAGAGATGAGGGAAAGAGAAGTAGGGGGAGGACCTCTACCAAACGCATGCCCTGAGGTATAACTTGGTAACTTGTTGGTAGATTGCTCCAATGGAGTTACTGGGGGAACAGCCCTCTTCTTTCCTGACTTGGACAATGGTATCTATGATGGGGACCCCAGAGACTTCACATAGACAAGCTCAGAGTGTGTGGAAGCACGTAGCAGCAACAGTATTGACCTTTGAGGGAAGCATGCCTTGTTTGTAGGATCAGGTGGCCCGGCAACTGTGGATGGACTTTTTCACCATATCCTTCAAGTGCCAAGGTAGGGCATTGAAACTGCTCAGATTTCCAAAGAAACGGGTGCCAGAGCTAGCGCCCACTGCTTTATTGTGCTTGACCAATGTATTGTGAACTCTATGTGGGGCCTCCTGTCCCCTTGCTGGGCACCAACTTAAGGGTAACCTTCGCCCCACCCTTAGTTCCTAGGGACTGGCAGAGTCCACCTGGAGGCAAGGGGCACTTCCTCTGAGGCAGGTAATAGGACTCAGAGGTGAAATTGTTCAGGCTTTGGATTCTTTAAAGCTGGTTCCTTGTCTCTCTGTCTCTCTGTCTCTGTCTCTCTGTCTCTGTCTCTCTCTATATATTGTTGTTGTTGTTAAGTGCCGTTGAGTCGGTTCCGACCCATAGTGACCCTGTACAGGGTTTCCGAGGGTGTAAATCTTTACGGGAGTAGAAAGCCTCATCTTTCTCCCGCGAAGTGACTGGTAGTTTCAAACTGTTGACCTTGAGATTTGCAGCCCAATTCGTAACCACTACACTATCAGAGCTCCCTTATATGTATATATACACTGCCATCCTGGCAGTCACTAAGTCCTCCTACATCTGATGTGCTTTTGGGTTACTCCCAAGTGGCCTTTGGATACAAATCCTACAGGATTTTTAGGCTTTTCCTTCTCACTCTCTTATGGTTGACACCCCTTTCTCTCAATATTCCACAGCCAAGTTGCAATGGTCTCTTTTCCTTTCTGGTCGAAGTTCCCAGACAGCTAGGTCAACACAGTGGAGATGTATTATCACATTGTCATAAAACTGGCTTGAAACATTTCCTGCCTAAAGTCATCTGCTTGGGGTAACTCCCCTCCCACATTCCCTTTTTTTGCAAACTTGTAGGAGAGTTTCTCATCCTCACAGACACTTCTGTTCAGAATATCAGTCATAGCCACACATCTCTTTCCAATTGTGGTTCCTCCTGCAAGGTTCTTCTGCATGTTTCAGTGGCTAAATGGGCATCAGTGACCAACTGAACAGCCCAGGACAGCAGCCATCACACAGCTTCCACCTCTTTCTTAGCCTCCTGTCCCCATTTATGATGGTGTGTGCTTCTACACAACTGTGCTATGTTACTAGACATTTCAGGGTATCCCTCTACCCATGGGGCTCTCTACACACATTGGGCACAGGGACCAAACCTCCACATGTAGAAGTTGCTGACCAACCAAGGACTTCCCCAGACCTCACTCCAAAGTATTGTGTCTCATGTCCTCAGTCTCCTGACTAGTTTGCCAACTGTCACTGTATGTACCAGTATCTCAAAATTTGCCTCCAAATATAGACAGTGCTGTGAGATCAAAGAAAGTAATGAACAACTCCAGTATGGCAGTAAAATTAATTTATTAGGGAGACTTACACACAGGGCATGTCCTAGGTGGCAGCAATACAAAGGCAATTTTCCCTCTCCCCAGTGGGAAGAAGGAGCTCTGTTAGCGTAGTTGGGCTGCTAATCTCAAGGTCCAGCAGTTCAAAACTACCAGTGGTTCCTTGGGACAAAGATGAGACTTTCTGCTCCTGTAAGGATTTACAAGCTTGGAATTCCTAGACAGGGTTGCTATGAGTCAGCATCAACTCTATGGCACACCACCACCACCACTAGTGGGAAGCAAGAGTTTTTATAGCTATGGTGAACAAAATGGACTGCATGCCAGAACTCCAGACTTAGAAGGGTACGCCAGCAAAAGTTACATAAGAGTGATCGCCAAAAGTAGCAGCTGGGCTCTTAAAAGCTCATAAGCGGTCTGCTAAGGTACAACTGGAATCCTGGGGTGGTGCTGTGGGTTAATGTGCCAGACTGCAAAGCCGTTTGAACTGCAAGGTTGGCAATTCAAGCTCACCAGCTGCTCCTCAGAAACCCTATCCAGGGTTGCTATGGGTCAGAACCGACTCGATGGCACTTAACAAAAACAACAAGGTGCAACTATTGGTCTCTCCGTGTGTGGAAGAAAGAAGAGGGAGGAAAACTGAAGATGTTTGGAATCATTAGTCCAGTGGACCAATGGAGCAGGTGAACGTCAGTTACCACGACTGTGAGACCAGAAGAACGAGGTGGTACCCAGCTGCCCTACCAATTGCTCTAAAAGGAAACACATTAGAAAGTCCCAGATAGAGTGGAAGAAAATGTGGAACAAAACTCAAAATTATTTTTTTTAAAAAAAAAGGGTCAGAAAGAAACTGGAGGAACCCAAGATTAGCCTCCAACCACCATTCAGCTCTGGAAAGAAGCTCACTTTTGTGGCCCACATTTCAGCCAAGCAATAGATAGGTATATAGGATAGACAACAATATTAGTAAGGAGCTCTGGTAGCGTAGTGGTTTCAAATTGGGCTGCCAACCTCAGGGTCAGCAGTTCAAAACTACCAGTGGTTCCGTGGGAGAAAGATGAGGCATTCTGCTCCCATAAAGATTTACAGACTCAGAAACCCTGTGCAGGTCACTATGAGTCAGAACCGACTCCACGGTACTTAACAACAACATGCTCACCATGGAACAGGCAGTCATTCAAACTCAAAAGGGCAACATTTACCTGACGAAAAGTTTGAGAAAGAATGGGAAGGAGGGTGGAATGGAGATAAGAACCACAGGAGGAAGTGGGGTAACATGGAGGGGGTTGTAATCATTGAGATGAAGCACAGTGTATAATTGTTGTTCCTTCTAGCACTAAATCAGACAGTCTTCTCTGCTAATCCATAGGGTGTTCACCAGCTAATTTTCTGAACTAGATCAACAGGCCTTTCTTCCTAGTTTGTAGGAGAGTGTTTCCTGCTCATCTTCCTCACAAAGGCTTCTAGTCAGAATGTCAGTAGTGGCCACACAGCTGAAACCTGTCCACCATGAGTACCAGTGGCATCGCTTCCAGCATGACAGCAACATGCAGATCACCACAGTATAATAAACTGACAGATGGAAAAAGCCAAAGTTAAAAGTCTATGGAATGATTGAGGGATGTTCCATGTGAGTGCTCCTCAAATAGGAATCCTAGAAACATGCCTGGGGAGCTCTAGGGGAATTTTTTAACTTTAGGGAAATCTAGAAATTTTAACCACACCCATGGATTCTCCGAATAAGCACCTTGTGCACGCTTAGGGGCACCTGATTCCAGTTCCCTTGATTGCATTTAGGGTGACTATTCTGGTGGTTTCACGTGGTGTTACTGGGGAATTGTGTAATCTGGCCACCTGAAGGTGAGGACTCATTGCCCCAGAAGAATCTGTGCTGCATTAAGTTCAATAATTTTCAGGTCATTATCTTAGGATTTCAAGGTAAATATACTCTTTTTTTTTTTTTAAATGAAAAAAATTCTGTCCTTTATAATATTATAAATAACATTTCTATACAGTGTCTTATTTCATTCGTTACAACTTTCAGAACAATGTTAAATTAAATCTTCTAATAGATGGCATTGTTTACCTGATTTCAATAGTGACACTGGTAGTTTGTGTTTTGTGGGGGTTTTTTGCTACCAATTTGGTTTGAAGGAGCTCCGGTAGTGTAGTGGTTACGATTCGGGCTGCTGGTTATGAGTCAAGGTCAGGGGTTTGAAACTACCAGCAATTCCATAGGAGAAAGATGAGGCTTTCTGCTCACATAAAGATTTACAGCCTCAGAAACTCTATACATGGTTGCTATGAGTCAGAACCATGGTACATAACCACCAACCAATTTATTTGAGGTAAATTGATCATTTTGAGAATATTTTTCTTAGTTTCTAAGGAATGTATAACAGGAATGGTTATTTTATGACATCTTTTTAAACAACTGAATTTCCATAAAATTCAGCCTTGAACCGTCCAATTCCTTGGTTTTGAGTGTTTTTGAAAAGTTGTGCAACAAGCACCACTTTCTAATCCAGATCATTTTATTTCCCCAAACACAAATCCTTAGCCCACTAGCAATGCTGTTCTTCCGACCAGTTCCTGACAGTCATCAATCCACTTTTGTCTCTATGCATTTGCTTATTCTGGGCATTTCTTATACCTGAAATTACATAATACATAGCCTTTGATGTCTGGCTTCTTCCAGTTAGCTTAATGTTTTCAAGGTTCTTCCAGGCAGGTAGTATGGTTTCATAAACATTGAGATCAACAGTTACATAAAATTAATATTATTAGTTTTACTGCTCTTATGTTTGCATGGAATTTATTATTATTATTATTATTGCAATTGTAAAGCAACTATAAACTGGAAGTCTTTTTGTGTTTTTGTTATGTAAGTAATGTTAAACAGCAGTAATACTCCTAATGTAGTGCTGTGGGATCAGCATTGGACTTCGAACCACAAGGTCAGCAGTTCAAACCCACCAACTGCTCCTTGGGAACCCTATAAAGTTGTCTATGAGTTGGACCCAACTCGACAGCACTTAACAACAATAACAAGCAGCAATAACTTAGGTCCACACCAGCTTCATAACTATGTTCTTTGCCTTTGAAGAGACTAATACTCAAGTTTGCAAAACAGCATTGAGAGGAATTCACACTTTTTTCTTTTAAGGCAGAGTCCCTGGGTGTTGCAAACAGTTTCTGCACTCAGATGCTGCCCAAAATCTGGAGGTTCAAGTCTACACAAAGTTGTCTTAAAAGAAATGCATGGTGATCTATTTCTGATAAATCAGCCACTGAAAAAGCCTGTGGAGCACAGTTCCACTCTAACACACATAGGGTCACACGAGTCTGAGTTGACTCAGTGGCAACTGGATTTCTCCTAAGACAGGTCAACTTAGTGGCTCCTGAGTGTGTGCTAAGACAGGAAGCAGGGAGTCCTACAGCATGGTAAATAAGCCCTGGAGGTTTACACAGCATTTGCAGGTCTTACCTCATAGTTCTTACTCTCTGCCCAAGCTAAATATTGAAACAGTCCAGTGCATACAGTGCACACATGCGTACATATGCACACACTTGATAGCTTCTGCTGCCCCACTTTGAGTTCTGGTTATGGGATTTTCGTGAACTTTTCTGTTCCCTTTTTGCCTATAGCCAAGCACATCCAAGGCCTTGTCATCTTTATGCCTGGCTCACTTCCCATCGTATAACTTCAGGTCTCTCTTACTGAGAGGGGAAGCATTATTAGCTTCAAAGAGAACACAGTGCAATACTATTCTCTCAACCAATCCCCATTCCAGCACACACTCACACAGCAGATTCCTTCTACCAGCTCCTCTGAGAGGTGACCATAGGTGACTTGACATGCTTGAGGCCGAGAAGCCACCCTGCTTTCAGCAGTTAGCTGCTTGTTCCCAAATGCATTCATGGTAGTCCATTCATTTAAATCAACAATGTTTACTGAGCACTTACTCTATGCTTACCACAGTTCTCAGCACTGAGAATACATAGTGAACTAACCAGACAAAAAATATTTGATCTCACTTTCAACAACATGACAGACTAAGCAGACACACTACATAGATGTGCTACAATCCTGGAACCCTGAGCTTCAGAGGAAAGGATAGAGACGTGGACTGAACACTTACTAGGAGAAGAAGTTGAACAGGAGTGGTGAAAAGGGAGACAGATGGGGAAACTCTGTCAGTCAACCAGACGTGACACAGGTATGTTGAACTTTGTGAGAGGCTTTGGAGGCAGACAGTAGTTTTTGGTGCAGACCAGTGACTGGCAACAAGGAAAGTATGATTCTTTCTTGTGCCCACACTTGCAAGATGCATGGCCGGCCCCCACCCTCGTCCAACCTCAGGATAGTCCCTGCTCTCCCAGAGGTTAGAGCTGCCCAATTGTGAGCTGCATGGTTGTGAGTCAGGTACTGGCTGTACCACCCCAGCACATGGATTGCAGACCTATAGAACTCACAGAGCTGCTCCAGGCCACCCTTAGACTTGCGGGAACTCATAACGATCCACTCTGGGCCTGAAATACACTGATCCAGCTATCATTGG